TTGTGATTTACGGTATGTGCTACAAACAAAAAATCATACGATTTTCATAATTAACCTTACACATACACGATTGTTCATATTACAAAATGAGATATGGTAATATCTATAGAGTTTTGAGTTACATGTCGACTTAGGAACCTTATAGAGATTACCATATTTGTTTTAGTAATAAAATATTTTCTTTGTTCTTTATTTTAACATTTCAATTATTACACTGGAAAACAACTTCTTTAGCATAAGAGTTACAAGCGCCAAGTAGAGGTACATGTACATACTGACAAAGAAAAAGAAAGTTAATATTGTTGATGTATTTTCTTCATCAATTGTTTATACAACAAAGATCACTTTCTATAAATTTTTGTGTTCCTTGTGTAACCTATCTTTAAAAAAAAATTTCAAAGAAAAATTCAAGATGCAGTTTTAACGTATGACGTATTTCATCACTGTTTACAAGAATTAATCATTTATATTTATCTAAAGGTATGTTTAATCTATCCTTGTTGTAAACGGCGGGAGAACATTCTCTTGATTATATATCAGAAATGGTCCAAGATCATAAAATAGAGCGGAAACAATTTTGGCACTTCGGAAATGGTGGGTTATTAATTTGATCAAACAGCTGATATAAGAGTGTTAATACACATACTTTGTCAGTGCAAATCGGTCTCGTAACTCGTTTTAATAGCAAATGATTCGCTGATTCAATTCCTTTTTTTTAAAAAAAAACTTATCACATATATACTTTTGCAGTACATAAAGCAATTTATTTTGAAGTAATAATCTATATGGAGCTTCGAGGAACCGAATTCATAATACTAACAGTGAATTCTCGATTGTAAATTTATCACGGGACGGCCGGTCATTTTGCAGATCGATGAAAAAACATCGCTAAAAGTTCCAAGTATAGCGACACAATTTTTTTACTCATGAAAAATATGTGGATGGCTTTTCCGAATCGGAAGAGTCTCGAATATTATCGGCTGTCCCGTGACTTTGAAAATAACTGTAACGGCGGATTTAACACTAAAACAAATTAAATGAGGTGATCCGATTCATTTATAATAACCAACAATTAATTAACCGATGGTTATTATCAACCGATAATATATTCCAATTGAACACAAGATAAATCAATATTAATTTTTGACGTATTGCTCGATAAAATCAAACCATTTGTATTATGATAATTTTTTTGTTTATTATATACCCTACGGGCCCTTTACGTATCTCATTCTTTTAAGTGGTTTTTTTTTAAACTACATACTGTATATAATATTTATTAAAAAAAAAAATTTTCAATTTATCTTATGTTAATTAATAAAATATATCAACTAAATACGCATCGTTTTAAATGAAGTTTCCATGGCTATCGCAGGTCTCGTGCAACAGAATGAAATAACGTTTCGAATTATGCAAAAACTATATTCCGTCCAGTGTTATAAGTCCAATGGTCCAATTAGTCCAATTTGTTGACACAAAAAAATCCATCCCACGTGACCTCATATATATTTAAAGTATTTTCGGTGGGCAAATGTGCTGGGCAAATCACGTTCGTAAGATTTTTTTTGTAAATACTTATTAGTAGCGATACATAAATAACTTTAAAAACTGAAAATCTATTCCTAAACTGTTTAGCCAATAAATTTATAAAGTTTATTAATAAAGATTAAGGTTTTAAAATATTTAATTTTGAAATTAATTTTAAAAAATTTATTATTGTAAAAGTTCATATATTTCTATATTTAATTAAAAATTACTACCAATACTTTAGGTTTTTGATTATATAATTAAAGAATAAAGATTTCTATATTATAATATATGTATATATCTTAATACAATATTTTATTTTTTATAAATATATTGTTATTATTATTTATTAATTTATAAATTATCTTAAATTATAATATTTAAATATTCGTAGTTTTTAATATATAGTATTTTCCATTCTTTTTATAAAGATTAATTTATCAAAAGATAAAGTATTATATAAAATTTAAAATCAGCAATTATAATATTAAATTAATTTAATATTATATAGAATATATTCAATTTAATACCATATAACTAAGATAAATAATGTTAATGTATTTATTTAATTTTCTTAAATATAATTAATACTATAAAACAATAGAGTTTAAATAAGAATAAAGAACGTGATTTATTAGTAGAAAAAGTAAAAAAAGAGAATTAGAACATGTCTCATTAAAGGAAATGATAAAGAAATAAAAAAAACACTATTGTTAAATATTTTAAATAAATATGCAATGAAGCAATTATTTATGATGAACAAAGTCTTCAAATTACCATTCTGAAATGATTCTAAAAAACTACATTTAATTTGTCAATATGTATTTAATAACATTATTTATCATTAACAATTCGATGACAGAACTTAAATAAATAAATTTTTTTTAAGTCCTATATATCACGGCCAATGTATAAAATTTATAATTATAGTTTAGAAGAATAATGCATTTAAAAATTTCTGCAATCATTGATCTTAAAAAAGGGTCGGAAGACACATATTTACATTTTCAACGGGAAGAACTTCCCCAGTTCCATAATTGATATAATTCGAGTCTGCGCCATAAGTTGAAATACTTTTTTGATTATTTTCAACCAATAATAAATCGGTAAAAATATGTTCCATTCCATACTCTCGATTGTTACAGGTGGAATAATCTTCAATAGGAAGATACGAGTTCGGCGTAAAGATTATATCCTCAACGGGAACCTCAAAACCTTGGGTAATATTGACATAATCTGAATCAAATTGCAGAGGTGAAAAATGCACGCTTTCGTATTCCAACATTCTAATATACTCTTGATCGTTAGGAACTTGATTCATTAAATACGGGTCTTCGAAAAAGTTACTATTTGGAAAAGTAGCTTGGGAACTATTGATATAATTGTTGTCGAGGAATAAATTCATAACGCTGGCAGAATTATCTTCAATCGGAAGATACACACTTGTAGAATTTTGTGTATAAATTATATTTTCAACGGAATCCTTAATGTCTTGGGTATGATTGACATAATTCAAATCAGTTCCACTAATTACACTTGTCATACGTGAAACCTCTTCGACATGTTTATCAAATACGATTTGAATCGTATTTTGCTTATAAAAAGATTTAGCATCCTCGGACAACTTTTTGTAAAATTCCTTTACGTTTTCTGGTTCTTTATTCCAATAATATGATGCAATTTTAGAAAGTTGGCCCATAGGAGGTAATTTCATGTTTCTATTACGATTTTCTTTAATTAATGCCTTTTTATACGTGATGAAAGCATTTGGAAATGTTTTTGCTTTTTTATTATTGTTGGGTGCTTTAATAACACTTATAATGTCATTTAAAGATAAGGAGGAAGGGAACGTCGGTTTGTGAACATAATTATAGCTTTCGTCGCCAATATTAGTTTCCCTTTTATTAAACTTGGAATCGAGATTGTTATTTGTTGGCTTTCTGATTTTAGGCATTTTTTTTTTTAAAAAAAAAATAATTATGTATGATATAAAGTTGATTTTGTAATTTATAAAAAAAATTATCTTTTTTTTTTATTGAAAAAAAAGCACGAAAAAATCAATTCTGTTATATATTAAATTTTAATTTATAACGATAAAATCGGAGATTTTTGACATTTCACATTTCCTATTTTGGATTTGATCACTTTATGTTATGAATGGGTATCTGAAATTGGAATTCCATTTTGTCAAAGTCGTAACTTTTCGAAAATGAATTTTGTTTTTGGCGGATTTCGATATATATCTGCGATTTCAATTTGATAAAATTTTCAGTTTTAACAAGTTGTATAACTAAATAAAGTGAAATTGTTTAGCTTCATTTGCGTGGATAAATATTACAGTATATAAAAAATAAATATTAAATTAAAATTTCATTACCGCCCATTTTTACTTAGACAACTTAGACAAGTTTCGAACATAATTCTATATAATGAATTATTTAAGACGAAATTTTAGGTGAAAGCCTTGAATTATACCAAGGGATTTTCGGATATATTTTAAAATGTACCAAGGAATTATATTTTGAGGAATTAATTGAAAATCTCACTTTAATATCAAAGATTTTGATTGGTCTTTCCACCCATCAAAAACTTTTTCGGAAATAAAACGTCCGATTTTGACATTGAAAAATTGAGTTGTCGCAAAGGTTACGTCAAATTCGATTTTTGGGGATTTATACTTTACAGTATAGAACTATTTCTGTGTTACTTCAATTATTGATACTAACTAATTTTAGTAAGTCTGAAGAAATTTTGACCAATTAATAAATGTTTAACATAAAAGCTTCGTTAGCTTCGTTTGGTAAATTCGTCTATTATTATGAGATATATACATAGCTGACTATTTGGAACAAATTGTTCTCTCATCGAACTAATATTAAAGACAACAGTCCTAAAAGATGACATCTTGTAATAATTAACAAATAAAAAATATTAATGATCGTAAATGGCCTTTTAAATTTGTTAAAAAAAAATATGCTTAGAATTAGCCACTACAATATGTTATGTAAAACCAATACCATTTAAGAGTTCACTTTTTGCGTGCCACTAGTATAAAATTTATACACGACAAAGTCTTTCTGCCGAAAATTTAGAAAATTTTAAAATTATACATCTCATCAATTAAAGATTTATTATTAACCTTCAGCTTCAAACTTACACTTTCAACTTTAGATCGTGAATTTATGTTTCCAATCTAATTTATTAAGCTAAGTAAGTAATAATAACTTGAACGTTAAATCGCATAGCGTCAAATCTTTAAAAATGAAATCATATCATTTAATGTAAATTGTGTCTAAGATTTAAGAATTACGTAACAGATAAAAAATTTTATAAAGGTATTAATATTTTATTTGACAAAAATTCTATCAATAAATTATCCATATTTGGCACAGAGGTTTAGAAAGACGAATGTCGATCCGAAAATTTAACGTTAATGGAACATAATTTTATTAATAAATGCAAAAAGAAACCAACTATTGCTTAATCTTTAATAATTGCCTAAGAGAATATTCAAATTCCTCTATCTAAAAAACAATATATTTATATAAAAAATTCTGGTTTATAAAAGGATAGGCGCAGTAACAGATAAAACTTTTGTTATTCCTAGTAATTTTGTTTTTCTATATTTTTGTTTGAATGAAATATTCATAAATATTTTAAAGTAAATAATTTTGACGTAAGTCGTGTAAAAATAAATTAATATTAATTTGCACCAGCATTTGCTTATACTCATGATCGTTAGGATCTTCTAAAAAGTTATGTTTGGGATAAGTTCCAACTTGAGAAATGCTAGTCGAACCATTATTAAAACAAGAATCCATATCATCGACAGTAGAATCCTCAATCGTAAGATATCCATTTGATGAGTTTTGCGCATCGATCATAGTCTCAACATCTTTAGTTTGGGTACTATTGGCATAACCCAAATCAGCCGCAAAAATTTCACCTGTTACATGCAAAGGTGCAACCTGCTTGTTTCCTTGGTCATTTTCAACTTTATTCATTCGTTTATCATATATTATTTGAAAAGTGTATTGCTCATACAAAGATCGGGCTTCCTTAGCTAGATTTTTGTAAAAATTTTTTACGTCTTGTGATTCTTTATTCCAAGAATTTTTTGCGATTATTGATAACTGACCCATTGGAGGTAATTTAATGGTATTCTTATAATATT